CTGCTCACAGCGGCTGCTGGCCGCTCACGCTGGCTGCTGTCTACACACGGTAGCCCATGGCAACCCACTGCAGCAGGGGCTGCAGCCTACGCCGTCGCCTCACGGCAGCCCAGCTCCAGGTTGAGCTGTTGTTCAGCATCTTAGCTATAGAGGGCGCAGTGTCACTGGCCCTCATATGCGGGATCCGAACTGGGGCCCTCTGGCGTCCCAAGCCAGCTCTTAACCAACGCACCACTCGGCCGGCCCCATTCAGTATAAATTTTAAACACCAGGTTATCTGGAACCAAACCAAGCATTCATATCCCAAGCAGGTACCATCTGGTGAAAGGAAAGTCAACTGGGTTCCCGCCCAGGAACACTAATAAATCATACTCTAATAATAGTTTCCCTTTTTTTAAGCACTGCCTACTATGTGGCTAGGCCCTGTGCTAGGAACTTTATATAAATGCTATTTTTTTAAAGCTTCGTAACAACCCTATCTAGTAGATATTATCAATCTCATTTTAATAATGGAAAAAAATTAAGGCCCAGAACTTAAGTAACTTGCTGCTGATCGTACAGCTAATAAGGGACAGAGGTAGCCATTCTAAACTAGATGTTCATTACTGACTCTTTCCACTATGCTATGTTAATCATTTTTGTCCACACTGTATTTCTGGACAGGAGACAGAGTATATCTTACCTAGTTTTATGAAGACTTGGCTGAAACAGGATTTCCTGTCTTTAACAGTTACTTGGAAATTCCTAATTTTCAGTTTTTGGTTCAACTTGAAAGGCATTTTAAGTTTAAGGCATTTTAGTTTAAGTTAGGAGTGCAGACTCTATTAAAAATATATATTATATATATAGTCATGGGCTGTAAAGTACAGCATAAGAAATATAGTCAGTGGTATTGTAATAGCTGTGTACAATGTCAGATGGGTAGTAGACTTGGTGGGGTTATCACTTTATGAGGTGTGTAAATGTCTAATCATTATGCTGTTTTGTACACCTGAAACTAAAAGAGTGCAGACTGTGACTCCAGGCTGCCTGGGTTTGAATCCTAGCTTCCGTTATTAGCTATATGAAGTCAATCACTTTAAGGCTGTTTCCCCTCCTGTAAAATGGGTATAATAGCAGTAACTCACTTAATGGGTTATTGTGAGGATTAAATGTATGAATACATTTATTATTATTTGCTTCAAAGAGTGTCTGGAACACAGTAAAGAGTAGGTACTAACTACTGTTATTACTATCCAAAAGCATCATCTCTCACTGACAAAGCCTTGAGTAAAAACTAAGGAAATGGGACAGCAAGTGAATGGTACTGACACATCACATTCTAATAAAGTCATGACTTAACATAATATTGGGTTGCCGGAAAAGTCATGATGCATTTTTGCAAAGAAAAACATAGAAAAAATATGTCATGACTTTTCCGACAACCTAATAATATGCACATAACAAATATCTCATCATTTTTTAATAATTTTAGAAAGTTACAAGATTTTAAAAACATACCTTTGACGAATTACAGGATCAGACTTTTCAGGATCAATGTAAGGTCTTAGGATTTCATTAATAGTCTTATCATCTGGTACTCTTCCCAACAAAGAATAAACAAAAACAAAACATTATTATTTTCTACTAAAGATGTTAACTTAGAATTACTAAATCTTGTGGCTTTTTTGTTTAAATAACTGAACACAGACTTTTTATTTTACTTTTGGAAATATATATTGTCCAGTTAAGCAAAACTTACACAGGAAAATATCTCAAAAAGACTTCTTGGACACACTTAGCAGAGTCTTAAAAAACAATATTTTGAGAAGCTCCCCATAAATCAATTATAAAAATACGAAGCCTCTTTTAACACACACCTGTACTCAAAGATGAAAAGAAAGAAATCAGGTTGAAATATATTTGAAAGTTGCAGAAATAAAAAAAATCTGAAAAAAGGTTTCAGATGATGCTAATTTCAGTACATGTTTAATAAGTTTATTCATTCAAAGTCATAAGACCAGGCTAAAAACTGGATACTACTTTCCCTGGAAACAAAGAATTTTAGGTTTTCCAACTTTCCTATGTATGCACATTGTTTTGAACTATAAAGCTGTAAAAAAATAAATAAGACACTGCTTTGACCTAGTAACTTTCCTCAATAATTTATTCATATTCATATATTGTGCTATATAGCCCTATCTGTAAAATTTAAGTCCTTTCCCTGTCTTTAGACTGGTATGCACCTTCAAATAAAGTTTTTGATTAAAATCCATATGACCATTTCAAAGAGAAGACATTAATGCATAATGTAGATATATGCTAAATATATTACTTAAAAAACAACTTTAAAATTTTTCTAACTCAAGGAAGCAAAACAGTATACAACTATTAAAAATTTTAAATGATGCTTGAAAATGTTCATAATATGAAAAAAATAGGATAAAAGTTGTTAATGCAAATTAATTCCAATTATGAGTATACAATGTACATACCTAAAATAATGTATTTTCTGAAGGACATGCTATGATGCTAATAGTAGTATACTCTGCAGAGTAGAATTTTGGGTCATTTTTCACTTCTTATATAACCACCCAGCTTAAGAAATTGACAGTTTTCAGCCTTCTTAATTCTCCTTGCATCTCTCCTAATGCCTGCTCTCCCTGAAGTAAACACTATCATGATTTTTGTGCTAATCATTTTCCTTAGAGTTCTACCACTTCTGTAGGTATTCCTAAAAAGTATACTTTTTTGCATACTTACTAACAGAATCATACTCTATGCATTCTTCCTTAACTTGATTTTCTCACTCAACATTATTTCTAAGATTCACCCATGTTGATGTGTATAGCTGGATGTCATTCATTTTCAGTGGTGTTTAGTATTTCATTATAGCAATATACAACAACTTAGTTATCCATTCTATTACTGACATACATTTATTGAGATTACATTTAAGGTAACAATTTATTTTAAATACAGAGACATAATAAAAACAAGTAAGTTCATAACAGACAGTGGTGCTACTATACCTTTTTTCTATATATACAGCTTGACTCTGAGGAAATTGGAGCTTTACATGCCAACAAAACTGTTGTTTTCTAAGAGAAAAAATAATCACATGATGATCAAGGTAGAAATAAAAGTTTGAACACAAATCAAACTTCCTAAATTTTGTTTTCAGATAATAATTTTAAAAGTACTCTCACTCAGATTTTAATGTACTTTTTCTACTATTAGCTATTGTCTCTTTTCTAGGATTTTAGAGGGTATGTTTTTCAAACAATATACTTGGAAGGGTTTTTAAAAATAAAAAAGAAAATAACTGAAGCAGTTCTAAATTCCAAGGACTTCACATTCCTGAATTAGAAGGCAATTTCTCCTAGTTCAGGGGCTTTTGACATCAGTGTGCTACTACTTAAAGTTTACAAATAAATTTCCTCATGACTAAAAACAACGAGCTGATGTCTATGCCTGACTAGTCTGGAAATGAGGTGAATGAAGTATTGTCCGGTTGAGACCAGCTGGCTGCGGAGACACTTTTGAGCCATGAGTGCGTGCATTCAGCAGCAAAACAGTAGACAACAAGTTGGTTGCTAAGCAGAATGCACTCTACACTACAGTCCCTCTGCTTTCAGGTCTGAACTTTGGTTTGATACAGGATGGACAGTAGCAATTCACTAAATGTCTGATTTTAGAAAAATGACCATATGTTCTATTTAATATATCTAAATTTGGTGACACTAGACACCATTACTTTTAAAAAATATTTAATGCTCAAAATATTGAATCCATTACAGAAATTTTAATGTCTTTACTACATGACGGTTTTACATATTTTTTCTTTACTTAGCAGAAATTTCTAACAACCCACTGGCAAGTTAATGGCCGGTAGCATGCCCAATCAATGGCCAGCATCTCCTACAAATCTACGCCTTAGCAACATGGCCCCAAATCTAAAATAATTTTCTTTTAATACAATCTAGTGGAGTATCTCCCACCAAACATTTATATGATTTAGTCAAATTTTTGCCAGAAGACAGTGACCATAAAAATCAAGTAAAAATCCTTTTATTAGGGTAAGTTTTCACAGATCTGCTTGTGGAAGTTTTCTTTAATAACAGGATAGTTTTTGACACTAGCTAGAGAAAAACATGCTTGGTTATGCTTATGTTGATAGTGCCACTTATCGTACAAAAAACAATCATGTTATGTTTAATATTTTTTTTTGATAGAACAAAGTTGTATAGCACCCTTTACTAATCTGAAGGCCAGATGTCTAAAATCTCAGAAGAAAAACTTAAAAACATTTGAATGCAAATAAAACAGTTATTGGTTTTAAATAAATAATTCTTAAAGAAAACACCCTGCAATATTTGTTATCTGTGAAACAGTCACAGATAGCATAATATTACCATCAAGAGGCTGAGAGATACATTTCTCTTAGTACAAAATAAACTGATTTTTTAATCTTAATGCATAACATGGCTTCTTTCTAAATATATCTGTTTTTTTCATGTTAAGTTACTTGGGAAAAAAAAGATTATAAACTTGTGATCTTTTAGAATTGTAAATCATACTCCATCACTCCAATCATTGCTTGAGTAATTTCAAGAACCACTCACCTTTCTTAACATTCAGTAGACCCTAAAGACCTTCAGAAAGTACTTAACATTCCAAAAACAAGAGAGAAAAGCCCTTGGAAATCATTTTATTTGCGGTAGTTAACTACTTGTGGTTATAAGGAAGTCATTCATTACTGTTTTATTATATACACACTGCTGAATTATGACTATTATAAAAATCTTTCTATATTTGGCTTCAGTTCAAACATGAACAAATCTGAAAAGTACATTTACTTTTAAAAATATGATCTTGCAATATTTCAAAAACAAAGAAAAAGAGAATATAAAAGCTACTCAATATACTCACATTCAGATTTAACCAACTTGTGTACTGCCGTATTTGTTAGACATTTTTTTTCTTCTAGGAAATAAAAGTTTCTTGACATGGTTGGTGATCCTTTGTACTGTTCCCTGATTGTACTGTTCCCAATTCCCTACCTATCATCAGAGGTAACTACTGTCTTGAGGTTGGGTGCGAATTCTTGCCATCAATGGTTTGATGTTTTATATTTTACACACATCTATAAACAGTATAGTATTTTGTGTGATAGTTAACCTTTATTTCAATATTATCATACTCTAAATATCCTATGCCTTGCTTTTCTCATTTAAGTTATGCTTTAGAGATTTCTTTATGATATAGATTAATTGCATTAATTTTAACTGTTGCATAGTATTTCATTGAGTGAAGAACGCCAAATCTATTTATATATTCTCTACTGATAGACACTATAACTGTTTCTATCTTTTTACCATTTGTTGTTCCATGTTAAATCACAGTCAAGAAAAAAATAAAATATCCCCAAGGATGGGGCTATCGTTTATCTCTACTGGTACACAGAACTAAAAGTTAACTTCATTGAAAAACTGCCTGTACTTTTTTTAGTCTATGATAGTATAAGAGGCATTTGAGAACAGTTATTCAGAGTAAAAGGTTTAAGTGAAAAAGTGGACAAAAAGAGGTTGAAGAGTGTTGACATAAAAAAAAATATATACATAACCAAAATCCCCAAAACATTACTTGTGAGAGGAACTGCAATTTTTTTTTTTTTAAAGATTTTATTGGGGAATTGGGGAAGGGGAACAGTGTTAGGGAATTAGGGAATGGGAACAGTCAAGCTGTTGTCCTTCAATCTTAGTTGTGGAGGGCGCAGCTAGATCAGCTCCAAGTCCAGTTGCCATCTGGCTGCCCATCGGCAGCTTACGGCAGCTCAGCTCAAGATGTCCTGTTCAATCTTAGTTGCGGGTGGGCATAGCCCACCATCCCATGCGGGAGGCAAATCGGAAACTTTGTTAGGAGCACGTGCTCCCACCAGCTGACCCATCCTTCCACCTGTTGGCAGCTCAGCTTGGGCACAGTTCACTGGCCCATGTGGGAATCAAACTGGAGACCCTGCTGTTCAGAGTTCACGCTCTTAACCAACTGAGTCACTCGGCTGGCCCAGAACTGTAATTTTATATATATATTTCATTTATATTTATGTTTTCTAAAAGAACATACTTTTGTAAAGGAAAAAATTAAGTTAATGCTTTTGTAAGTATCTTTATGTGTATATATAATTGTTTCTGTATTTTAGATTATTTCTAAAGATAGATTCCAAGAAGTAGAATCACTAGGATAGAGCAGTGCTATCATTTTGGACCAGATAATTCTTTATTATGGAGGTGGGCAGAGAGACACTGCCCTGTGCATTGCAAGATGTTTAGCAGCATCTCAGGTTTCTACCTAATGAGATGCCACTAGCAACGCCCATTCTCCAAGTTGTGACAACTAAAGATGCTCCCAGATATTGCAAATGTCCTATAGGAGGCAAAATTACCACTTTTTGAGATCCACTATGATTGAAGTTAAACATTTACCTAATGCATCAGGACTACTCTTGCCTAAAGTCAGCAAAATGCCTACTACTATAATGTTCATTGTGTCCTTGCCTTATTTAATCAACATTTTCAAGAATGGAAACACTGTACCCAGAATATTCTAGGTAACTTAGGCACCCCAAGGCACTATGTTTAGAGCTTGATAATAGACGGGTGAAGTAATGGTGGCAATTATTAAACTTAATGTTTCCTTCTGGACAACTTGACAAAAAGTTAACAGAAACACTGACCTCCTTCTCCGAGTCTTATGAAACAGAAGTAACCATTCATGTGTAGCAAAACTTTTGCTTCTCCTCCCCAAATATTAACACACACCACACNCACACACACACACACACACACACACACACACACACACACACACACACACACACACACCATGCATTCTATATGGGGCAGCATCCCCCAAAGGGGGCGAGAACTGGTTCTTGGGAAATCTTAGCTACTTATTATAGTGGTTAGGGTCACTGTACATAAACACACATACAGTATACCTGTGGTTTCAAAATATCATGGGAGGGCAATCAGAAGGAAAATATCCTAAAAGGCCCCTTAGGAGATAATGAAAAAAAGGTTGAGGAACACTTAGGTGGTACATGTATTAAATGAGGGAAATAAATATTATTTTGTACATACTTGGTTTTAGTGATTTAATATAGGGCACTTATTTAACAATGTTTGCTTACTAGAAACTGTTATGAATCATTCTATTGCAAAGTTTCAAGGAAGTGAAATGTGAATGAAGACACAAATCTGGGGGGAAGTTTTATACCCTTATACTCAATTATTCTTCTGACTTCATTACTTAAAATTGCAAATTTTCATCTTTGGCGAGCTACTATAATTCCAAAGAAGAAGATGCAAATCAAAAGTCATCAGATCCTTCTAAATGGCACTGTTCTCTTAATATGATAAAATGTTCAAGCTCATTTATAACCAAAGTAATGTAAATAGAAATGAAATATTTTCACCTACCAGACTTACAAAGATGTTGTCAAAATATGCTAAGGAACCGTGATGAAATGAACATTCTTCACTACTGACAGGAGTATAAACTGGTGTAAGTTTCTGGCAGTTCAATTTCATAAGGCTACAAATAAAAATTTATAATGAAAAAAATTTTTGCTTCATCAGTTTTATTCCCAGGAATTTATCCCACGGAAATAACTGGATAAATAATAATATTTGTACAAAATGTCCACTGTACCACTTCTCACAATAGAAAAAAATAGAAATAATCTAAATGTATCATCAGAAAACTGATTAAATAAATTATGATAGATCTACATAATGAATGAAAAGATAAAACAGAATTATAAGTACTAAGGTAGAAAAATGTGTGTTAAATGATGGCATTTATATTTAAAAATACAGAGGATGCCAAAAAAATGTATACACATTTTAAGAAAGGAAAACTGTATAAAAATTGTAATAATATAAACCAATAACAGAAGATGAATACAAGTCATGTTTGATTTCTGCAATTAGAAGAGGTGCTCAAAGTGGTTACCATCACCGTCCAGACACTTCTGATAACAGCGAACTACTGCTTGGGCAACGTTGACCAAAGTGTCCACTTGTATACATTCTTTTTT